CTAGATTCAAATGCTGAACAGAAAGTTGGGTGGAGGGGACTAACACACTGAATAGAGCCCTCCCCCATCACGTTTTCAACAGCAATTTATATCCTGTACTTAAAATGGCAACTCTGTCCATAAAAATATGTAAACAGCTCTCCATATTCATCATACCCCTCCTTCCTATCTCACTTGTCTTCCATCTTATCCACAGCTTTAGCTCTCCACTGTTCGTAGTCCGTTTCCACAGATGGTTGCTACCAGAAGAGAAGGGACAGATACTGCAGTTACCACACTTGTATACCCTCATATGCTTCATACACTATTTTCAGGCTACTTGTTCTTTTTACCTCCTAGTACTTACCTTTAATTTTTCATATAAGCCTATAGAGCGTTCCACTGAAAAGCTTGACAAACACAAGCAAAGTCCATTGATTCACACCATGCACTCCACAAAGCACTCAAATTATCTCTGCAGTTGTAAAGAAAATACATAATAGCCAATGCCAGAGCTTCCAATATTGTCTAGCTACAGGAAACCAACAGAGCAACTTATGATATTGTAAACACCACTCACAGAACAAGAACGCAATACTTGATGACCCAAACTTTTATAGAAAAGTCTTCTATTTCCAAAGCTTGCAGTTACACTGATATACAGGAGAGATCTTTCAAGGTCAGTAATGCCCAACAGCAACAGAAAAGCGGTAGTAACATTATGGTGAAAAAGGAAGAAGTTCCACATGCTTTTCTGAAGACAAAGCAACAACAATCTGAGCAATGACTGAATCTGAGCTAATGACTACACTTGGATCTAAGAGCAGTTCCCAGCTCGAGCAGGCATAGTCAAGCTAGCACGCTAAAAATATTAGTGTAGCCTCAGTAGCATGCAGCAGCATTACATGCAGCATAATATGTACTTATGAGGTCTGGGCAGTGCTTAATTTGTGCCAGGGCTGAGCCCCAGCACCTCTATGCTTGGCTGTTCATAGCCCCGGCACCTTTGGGTTTGCTGCATCAGTTATGTAAGTAAAAAAAATTGCTTGAGCCTCAGCACCTCTTCCATTACAAATTAAGCACTAGGTCTGGGCGAGTTTGTACTCAGAGCAGCTAGCCTGTGCCACTGCTCACGCCACTGCGGATACACGACTATATTTAGTGCACTAAAACAAGTATTTCTACTCAAGCTGGGAATCACACTCCTAGCTCCATGTGTAGATGTAGTATTAGGGTACTAATTGATGCAAAAAGAAAAGATTGCATGATGGTATTCTATAGTTAAGCAGTGATTCTTATGTAAAAGTGAAGTGTCTTTATTAGGAGCAAAGATACTGCTTTTCAAATGGAGAGTCTGAATTTGATCATCATTAATACTACTTCACACTAAGTGGTAGTATTACAATGCTGCCGAGAGCCCTTAGTATACATTATGGCCTTATTGTGGTGGGCACTATATGACCACATTAAGAGACAATCCCACCCCTGAAAAGTCTATACTCTAAACAGACAAGATAGGGTCTACAAAAGAAACTAGATGATTAGGAACAGGACTGGAGGCACAGAGAGTCTAAGTGACTTGTCATCCAGGAAATCAATGGATGATCTGAAAACAAAAACTGAACTCTTGAGTACCAGTCTAGTTCTTTACCCACAAGATCATTTTTGGTGGCAGTTGGAAAATGCCAATTCATCAAAGGCTAAATCAGTGGTTTTCAAACTTTTGTTCTGGTGACCCCTTTCACATAGAAAGCCTCTGAATGCAAACCCCCTCTCCCTCCGCTTATGAATTAAAATAACTTTTTATATATTTAACACCATTATAAATGCTGGAGGCAAAGTGGGGTTTGCGATGGAGACTGACAGCCTGCGACCCCCCCATGTAAGAATCTTGTGACCCCCAGTGGGTCCCAACCCCCAGTTTGAGAAGCCCTGGGCTAAATGTTTGTCTAAATTTGTCTATTTCAAGCAAAGATTTTTGAAAGAAAGATTGAAAGAAAAATAAAAGCATTCTGATAAGCTTAAAATGGAATGTCTTGACTTTGGAAACATTTCAGTTATCTCTGTCAAATTTCATTACATATTTTAAATATACAGTATAAAATAAAATCAGATTAAAACATTTAGATTGATCAGAAATGACAGGTTTTGTTTGTTTGTTTTTTAAATCTCATTTCAGTTCTTGCTTTTGTTCCATTTCAGAACAGAAGGAAAAATCAGATTCACAACATTCTCCTTGAAATGAAAAATTCCCAGTTTCCACCTAGCTCTAATATAGCTATTTAGATTAACGTACATGACAGTAAAAGTAGTATACAGTAAGCAATTCTCAACTATAATAAAAGTTACCATCATGGGAACAGTAATGCTAACGTATCTAGTTCATGGTGTCTAGTAGCAAGAAGAGTTGAGCAACAGTGACAAAACCCAGAGATTCTGTCATGAGCTGTATAATAGCTCTACAGCTGCAAAGAGAAGTAGGCTCCAAATATGAACACCCAGTCCTGAAGTAAAAATATAAACAACCAAAGATAAACACACAGTTCGAGAACACAGCTCACGTACCACTTTTAATCAGAAGTTCCTTGGCTGCAACAGAGATGTGTTGAAGTAAATTACTGCATTCCCATAGCAGTTCTGCAAATAACTTAGATTTAAATGATTGCAATAAGGACCAATCCCCCTGCATCTAGCACAAGAGAATACGTAGTGAATAGAAAAGCATGTTCCCCAACAGAATATTAAAGTAATAGCCTCCCTATAGAGGCTAATGAGTTACTACCCCTTGGGCAGGCGTAACCTGCATGAAGCACAATATGGCTCTCAAAAACTAAATGTATGCTGACTGAGTAGTGATGACTGAAGCAAAGGAGAACATAGTCAAAAAGCACTTGGAAAATGATACTACTTATTTCAATACCTGAATAAGGATGTGGGTGCCTAAAGTTCATGTATTCTCAAATTTAGGTCTATAGTCCTTAACCATAGTTCCTGCACAGGATTTGACAAAAATACTATCAGCTTCCTTTTCTCCTACAATTTTCTCCAATCAGATGCAGATTCTCTAGTCCCTCAACCTGCCCTAGTGACATCCATCTCCCTCATGCCCACTTTCACTCCCTCCCTCATTTTTCTCTTTAGCCTCTCATTCTCCTCTGGACCTTTCTACTCAAAATATATACCATGAACTAGATTTTAGTTTCAGTTACACCAAGGTAAAGAAGGTGTATCCTTACTGTCTACAATAGAAGTAACCCAGATTTATACTAGTGTAAAGAGAACAGCATCTGGCTTCATATGTGTACAATACAGAATCAGAGAAATTTCTTTCTACTTACCAGTGTAAACACGATTTCCATTAGGATTGAGAGCTCTGTAAAGAGCTCATATGATTACATGAAAAAGCAGAATGTTACCAAATATGCCATGTAAGAAAGTAAGAGATGAGAGAGAAATTGTTTTTTTGTGGAATTGATGTTTAGCACTCAAGAAACATCCTGTGGTAATCCCTTGAGCAGGAGGAGGGAGAAAAACTTTTCTTGAGGCTTCTTCCATTTGTTTGAGCAAATAATTCAAACAACTGATTTGTTAACAAAACTGGATTTTCAAAACAAAGTCATGAGTTTTTTGGTAGCAGTCAAACAAACCAACAAAAAAAGCAAGGCACCCTTTGAGTTCCATAATTAAAACCATAAATCTCAAAGAGTAAAGCTAAAATGTCACAGTAGGTCATGATTACTTAAGGCAGAATACCATTTGTTTGTTTTGAAATTTAAATGGAAACTTTAACGCAAAAAATTCTTCCAGTGTTTGCACTCTACTAGTGAGTGAGAAGACCTAAACTGATTTTGACCACAAGCTAACAAGGAAAAATTAAACTGAATGTTTTAAATTTTCCTAACTGAAAGACAGACAGCAAACAAATATCATGAGTAATGTGACATGCATTTAATTTGAATAATCTAAATTGTTAAATTGATTTTGGTTTTACTATTTTGTTTTTTAATCTCCTACCTCTCCCCCCCTCCAAGTCTTTAATAAGTTTACAAGTATTTCTTTGATCTTTAGAACTGAGATTCAGGGTACACACAGGCACACTGTGATTGTTTCTATGTTTGTCTGTTGGCATTACTTTCGGTTGAACAACAATCATATACCATTCAATTTCATTGTTCATACAGTTAGGCCTAGTTAATTTCACATTAGAGTCTCCTGCAATAGCCCAAACAAACAGTGTAAAGCCAGACCTCCTCTGCTGTTTTTAAAGGTGTTTTAATTGGGAAAAATGCATATAGAACCATGCCCATTGACTTTAAATTATTTATTCAAAAACTACATTCAGGGCCAAATTCAAATGGACAGGACTTCTTTTGAGGCAAACACAGGGTGAAATGGTGTAACAAGATAAAACTTCAATATTGTGAATGTAAAGTAAAATCAAAATTATCCAACATTCTACTGCAATTAATCCGGATATGTGTCAGCTATCGATTTACACGTAATTAAGTCTTTTGAGAGAGGCCTGTTTTGCCACTATATTAACAGGCAAGTTTAAGGTGGCATTGCCACAGCTAGAATGAGTGTGGTGGACCAGCAATTTGCATGTCCCTACAGCGGGGGGAGAGGAAGCCATCCAGGCGATGGATAGCAGGCGGGGGAGCAATCCACGCCCTGGTGTCAGCGCCCCCAGCAAGGTGGGAAGGAGCGGGGGGCTCACCCACGCAAGTGCTTCCGGGCTGCGGACCCTGGCGGCGATGGGGCACGAATGGCAGCGTGCAGAGACCCCGGCGCTGTGGGGGAAGGAAGGTGGCGGGGCAGAGGGAACCCCCAGAGCCCAGGGGAGGGAACAGCCCATCCTGCAACGCAAGGGGAGAGCCCGGGAGGGGAGAGCGCGGCTGAGTCACGTGAACGAGTCCCCTCCCCGACCCCCATTCCCCGGCTGGGCCGCGCCTGGTCATGGGGCTCATAGGGCCGGGGCGGGGGGAGGCAGCGCTGCAGGACATCCCCAGCCTGCTCCCCACCCGGGTCGGAGCTCGCCGGAGAGGAGCGAACGGTTCTACCTCCTTCTTCTTCTGTCCGCCCCCGAGCTGCACGCAGAGCAGCAGCAGCAGGAGGAGGAGGAGGCAACTCCCGGCCGGCAGGTGCAGCAGCCACCGCGATGCCCTGGTACCCAGCGCCATGTTCCCTCCCCCCGCAGCCCAGCCTCCTTCGGAGAGCACCTGCCGCACCGTTATCCACCTCTTCCTCGCTGATTGGACGCTGACCCCAGCCAATCACAAGCGGCCTGCAGCACAATGGCGACTGGGAAATGTAGTTCTTTCTCCCTCTTGTTCTTCCTCTGCTTGGGGCACGTCTCCGGCGCTTTTGAGGGTGTCGCACATAATTCTTCGAGGCCACCCCCGAAGGTTATACTGAATTAGGGCCTGATCCTGCCAAATGCTGGGCACCTTCAAGTCCCATTCATTGTACAAACACTCAGCTCCAGCCAGAGGCAGCAGAGGATGAAGCTTAATATAGGGGTGCTGGAACAATTTGTACAGTGGAGGTGCCGAGAACCATAGAACCAAACTGTAAAATCTGTATATAATGGAAATCACTTCAAGCCAGGGGGTGCGGTAGCACCTCAAACACCCCTAGTTCCAGCACCTGTGGCTTAATATATGATTAATGTCACACCAGTCAAAGGTCAGGCATTGCACTTGACACTCAGGCAACCTCCTGACCAATCCAAGATGGTAAAAACCGACCTGGTTACTACTTTAATATGGTCATCTAACAGCTCTGGGGTCTAAAGTTGCAAAGTCTGGTGACTAAATGGCTGATGCACTCCCACAGTAAAAAGAACTAATATTATTTCTGCTATCTCCTCCAACTTATTCTCTCATCTCATCTTCATCACCTTAGTCTTGTCTGGTTTAACGTACAAGCAGCTCTCTCTCGTCCATGGACAGCCCATTTACATTGTCTGAGGCAATGGATGACTTTGTTGTACAAGTCAGACAAGACAAATATACAATTTGGTGTCATGGGCATATAGAAAATGCCATACTACCCAAGCTCCCCTTTTTAACCTTCCTCATGGCCCCATGTACACATTGAACAGGCGGGGTGACACAATGCCACCCTGGTTCACGCCACACTTAAGAGTCCTTCAAGAAGAGGAGTAATTGCCCATGACTATCCACTGAGATCTCTCGGAGAAAAGAACAAAGCCACTGATGGGGATCCTCACCATTCCAGAGGCAAGTCAGCAACACCCCATGATCAACAATATTGAAGACAATTAGTGAAGATAATTAGATCTTATAATATCAGAATGGAAGAGATAACTGACTACTGTAACAAATGCTGTTTTTGAGCCAAAGTCATGTCTTTACCCAACTTGACAAGGGTCAAGATGATCAAAAGAATCCAGATACTGTGAAAGTGTCTCACTACAACTTTATCCATAATCTTACTAAAAATAAGTAAGAGGAGTTACTAGATGATAGTTGGCCATACTGTATATGTCAAGGACAGCTTCTTGAGCAGAGGCCACTCTAATGCTTCCTTTCAAAGCAAGAGGCAGTTTGCCCTCTCTGAGAGGACTGACAATTTCTACAAGCAAAGGACTCAGTACTATTAACAATGGATCCAGTATTTAGTACTATTTGTGAGTGTAATTTATGTTCTTTTTACTTCTTCAACCACATCATTTATGGACAAATTAAGTAAAACCAAGTTTAACACAAATCTCCCTAAGGAGATTTGTAAGGGACTGTTCCTTACAACTCAACATTTTGCTAACTATCTTTACTTTTTCTTTTTTAAAAACAACTTTTTTTCAGGTAGGTTTAAGTCTGGGTGTCAGTGTTGCATCAGAGCCCATTTCAATGAATTGCACCTATGTTTTCATGAAGTGTTGTATAAAATGTTGCTAAATGTGATTGAGGAAGCAAAGAATTTACATCTACACCATTATGCAGTATATTAAACCCTGTTTTGTGCTCAAATAATAATTTTGCTTTGTTCAGAAATTAACATTTTACTGTTATGTTGAATATGATGTGTTATATTAGACAGACAGCATTAAACATATTTGTATCTGTGTCAAGGTTCCTCCCCCACTCTGAACTCTAGGGTACAGATGTGGGGACCTGCATGAAAAAACCCCCTAAGCTTATCTTTACCAGCTTAGGTCAAAACTTCCCCAAGGTACAAAATATTACACCCATTATCCTTGGAATGGCCGCTACCACCACCAAACTAATACTGGTTACTGGGGAAGAGCTGTTTGGACGCGTCTTTCCCCCCAAAATACTTCCCAAAACCTTGCACCCCACTTCCTGGACAGGTTTGGTAAAAAGCCTCACCAATTTGCCTAGGTGACTACAGACCCAGACCCTTGGATCTTAAGAACAATGAACAATCCTCCCAACACTTGCACCCCCCCTTTCCTGGGAAATGTTGGATAAAAAGCCTCACCAATTTGCATAGGTGACCACAGACCCAAACCCTTGGATCTGAGAACAATGCAAAAGCATTCAGTTTTTACAAGAAGACTTTTAATAAAAAATAGAAGTAAATAGAAATAAAGAAATCCCCCCTGTAAAATCAGGATGGTAGATATCTTACAGGGTAATTAGATTCAAAAACATAGAGAACCCCTCTAGGCAAAACCTTAAGTTACAAAAAAGATACACAGACAGAAATAGTTATTCTATTCAGCACAATTCTTTTCTCAGCCATTTAAAGAAATCATAATCTAACACATACCTAGCTAGATTACTTACTAAAAGTTCTAAGACTCCATTCCTGTTCTGTCCCTGGCAAGAGCAGCACACAGACAGACCCAGACCCTCTGTTTCTCTCCCTCCTCCCAGCTTTTGAAAGTATCTTGTCTCCTCATTGGTCATTTTGGTCAGGTGCCAGTGAGGTTACCTTTAGCTTCTTAACCCTTTACAGGTGAGAGGAGCTTTCCCCTGGCCAGGAGGGATTTCAAAGGGGTTTACCCTTCCCTTTATATTTATGACAATCTGTAATCCATGTATCTGGGATGACTAGGAAAGTATAACCAAGAATTCTCTTTTTTACATTAGCTATGTGGTTCTCTATATTTAAGAGGGGTACTAACTTAGGCTCTCCGATGTGTTTGATTCTGCAATGATATTGATAAGATAGGAGTGCCTCTTCTCAGGGAGATCCCAGGATTTTGTAGTCTTGTGGACAACGTTCAGTCTATTATAAACAGAGCTATGAAAAAGAGAGACAAGGACATGAGTAGTGTAGAGAGGGATTACTTCAAGCAGCTGGTGTGAGTTTTGTGAAATAGGGAGTGTTCAAGAGTATCAGGGGAGCATCCAATTGTGCTGCACAGATATCCCAGAAACTGGAAATAATATTTTGAGTGTGAAGGGGAAACACAATGGAGGGAACTAGAAGAAAAGCTAGGAGAGTCTGCTGAACTGCACACACCACTTCACTATTCTGATTAGTATAATAAGGGATCAGTGATGAAACAAAGTTTGTCTTAGCAAGAAAGTATTATCATTGCACTGTGGTGTGCACAGGGGAGAATGAAAAAGCCGGACAAAATTGTAATTATAAAAATGTATAATCAATTTCCTATCTTTATTCATATTTAATGGGGTGCTTGTTTAGATGTGTTTTTTCCCCTTAATGTTATATTAAAGCATACTTTGTCAGTAATTCAACAGCATACCATCTTGTTATGGGGCAAACTCACTACCCAAGCACCCCTTCATGCCAGGATGTGACATTGCACTTTGTTTGGGAGCAAAATGCAATAAGACCTGATTCTCTGGGCAAGTAAATAATGGAAAGGTAAGGGAGGGGCCATTTGATTCATAAAAATCGACAGAATCATAATTTCAATGTTATCACCTTCAGCTGTGTGGCAGGAGGGACTTGCTGCCCCACCCTGGCTCCCAGCTATAGGTCCTGCAGTTGTGGAAATTTTGATAACACAGTGCTGTAGGAAATGCTGAGTTAGGGTATCATTCAAAAGCTCTTTCTCCTATGAATACATGACAAACCTAGAACAATTATGCAGATATACAGGCAAGAAAGTATTTTTAACAGTTGATTTTAATTATACTTTAACATAGGGAAGCATCGCTTACATTAAAAAAAAAAGACATTGACCTTTAGTAATCCTAGGGAAGTTAGCCTTGACATGTAGGGGTGAAAAAAATATTCATCGAAGTCATTGCAGGTGTCATCTCCATCTAGGGCACCACTGCTAGACATTTTGTCACACTGATCCTCATCCATACTGTACTCACACATCAGTATGAGGAAGCCAGCTGGCCAAATATCTGCAGGGTGCTGAGCATCTGATCATTATAGATGAGCATTTGATTAGGTGAAGGATTGATTTGGGAGTGCATGGTATTTCATGCATAATTGGTATGATCAGTCCATCTTCTAAGACCCACCAATACCTGATAGGGGGATGGTAGTTCAGGATGTACTCGACCATCCCAGAGCCATTTGATTGCTTGATAATTTGCCCTCTTAATAGCAGCCATACATTCACCCTTTCAATTCTTCTCCATTTGCCTGCTTCTTGGAAAACATACATGGAGGTAGTTCTTCACGTGTTGTTGGTCTTAAATGGTTAACTTGGCATATGAATGTCTCCAGAGCATTTATGACCTCATCAGTCAGTGTCTCATTCCTTCTTAGCACCTTCAGAGCAAGAAGAGAGTCTTCAGAGGCTGAATCAAATTTTTTCAGCCTATCTTCCAACCGTGTCACAGTCTGAAAGGGTGTGGAGACCTGGCAGTACAGTGGCACAAAAACAGAATCTTGCAGAAGTCTTGGGTAGTGTCTCACAAAGAGCACTAGAACATCCATATCTTGTGCTAAAAACCTGAGTTTAGTAGCACCTCTCTCTCTCTGGCTTTGATGGCATGCAAGATAATTTTAGTATCAGCTTCCTCACAGGAAGTACAAACTAACTCCACCAAACAGTACGAGGTGGCAGCTTCATTACAACATGTGACGACAAAATTCTTCAAGCTTTTCTTTACATTCTGGAACATTTTTCCTGTAAGGTAGTCAATTAACTGATCCCTCATGCGAATATGAGACAGCATTTTCTTCATTGTGACATTTGAGATGTTCATGGAGTCAATGATTTTGTATTGGACAGGAGCAAATAACATAAAATCTCTTCTTTCTTAAGTCTAATTCCTTTGCATATGTGTCAAACAAGGTGGACTTCATAAT